ATAGGGAGGGTTCAAGCAGAAGGCAACCTTGGGAGGATCTGAGGGGGTCAACGGGCTCAGAGTGGGACAGTTTTTCTTCAGGTAAACTGGCCCCAGGTTGTGTAAGACCCAGTTTGTAGGTCCTACACTCCAGGCCCATAGCCACCGGGGGCATTTGGGGGCAATGCCCTCCACAGGTGAATGCCGCCCCCTCTGACTAATTTTTTTAAAATAAATCCCAAAAAAATATTTTAAATCTATAAGATGCTCATGGGGTTTCCAAAACGACCCTGGGCACAGTCAGGGAAGCTTCAGTCTCATTTGCCTATTTTTCCTGGGCTGAAAGACAAACAGATTTTTTTTAAAAAAATGCACACAAAATATAATAAAATTGCAAAGAATAAAATAAAATTGCAGGATGCAAAAGAGAGAGAGTCAGAGATTCCCCCGCCCCCACCCGGCTTACACAGAAAAGCAGCCCAGAATAGATGCTTTCCAATCAAGAGGACTAGAGGAGGACTACCGGTCGCAACGGAGCTGGAAATGCATCTGCTGCTGCAAGAGGAGCAGCAGGTGCAGCTGGGGTGCCCCCGGATTCCACCACACCCCACCAACCAAAATTTCTGACCACACCCCTGGATAGGTTATGGGGAAGTCAATTTAACATTCCCCTTTTAAAAGCTGAAATGGAAAATTCCATTGGCATTCTTGCTGTGCCGTGTGCGTGTGGATATCTAAAATAGGCAGGCATGCAAAAGCAAGAATTTCAATTTCTCAATTTCAAGGTGATACGGGATACATAACCCTGACCTGGATGGCCCAGGCTGGCCTGATGTCCTCACGTCTCGGAAGCTAAGCGGGGTCGGCCCTGGTTGGTACTTGGAGGGGAGACCACCAAGGAAGTCCAGGGCTGCCATGCAGACCCAGGCAATGGCAAACCACCTCTGGATGTCCCTTGTCTTGAGAACCCTACAGGGCCACCATAAGCCGGCTGCGCCTTGATGACACTTCCTAACCCCAATGGATGTACACTGTGACCTAGATGGCCCAGGCTAGCCCAGTTTTATCAGGTCTCAGAAGCTAAGCAAGATAGGTCACGGGCAGTACTTGGATGGGGAGACCAGAGGTTGCTATGCAGAAGGCAGGTTGGGTGGGAGACCAGAGGCTGCTCTTCTGTTGACTTTTACCAGGGTTCAAATCAGGACACCACACAAGAGATTTCTTGAAGCTGCAGAACAGCTCCGTCTCTCGTCTCTCTCTGTACCAAGACTGTCTCTCTGACCTTCTCTCTCTGAGCTGACAGGCTCTCTCACAGCAGCATTTTACTAGGATCAAGAAGGCTCAGTCAAGTTCGTTACGATCAGAGCAAAAGACTTTGTCGGCTAAAAAGCACAGTGTAGTTCACAGAAGGTTCTTTTCTCATAGCCCATCTTTTCCCGGATGTTGCAAAGACTGTGTTCTCAGTAATTCATTGTGCAGGCTCATGCAGACTCAGCAAAGAATATGTCCTGCTTGCTAATTCTCCCGGCGAGAGTGTCTCTGTGGGAATTCGAACTTTGACCTGGGAAGTCTGAACTTTGACCCCGGGCATGCCTCGCAGGATTTTCTGTTCAGACTCCACACTCTTCAGAGGCAGGCAGTGGCAAACCACCTCTGTTTGTCTCTTGCCTTGAAAACCCCAGGGGGGTCACCCTAAGTGGGCTGCAACAATGGTACTTGACACACATTGGGTGCATAAGTAACGACTGAATTGCTTTGTGGGGGATTTGAATGGGATTTCCTTTGTATCAGTATCAGTCGTTCGGAGACTACTGTCTGGGAGGAGCGACCGTGGCTTCAGTAGCCAGTGACCTGGTGAAGAAGAGATGCCCTGTCCCTTGACTTTGTTGGATTGTCTGGACTTGGTCCTGCCAGGGAACCACGGAATGTAGTGGGGTGCTCAAGGCTTTAACGCAGCAGATCTGGGGCTAGGTGTGGCAACAGGCTTACAAAGGTACGCGGAGGCCCCCGTCACACGGAGGATTTGCCGTGCTAAAGGCATGAATGTCAGGCGGATTTTCGGTGCGATAACACCGCAACATCTGGGAAGCGTAGCACACCCGTGGCCAACCTGTGGCGTCCTGCCGAAGATGCGCAGTAAAAAAGTACCACGGAAAGTGCACTAGTATCCGGAAAACGCGGGGCAGGGGTGGGCGTCTGATCGTGGGAGTGCTAGTATCCCATGGCATCCGGTGCCCGTCCACATCCCGTTGCAAACCGGATGTTTTTCGTAAGCGCATGCGCACAAACACGTAACTGAAAGCAGTGCTGCTCCGCAGAACTGCACATGCACAAAAATGCAGAACGCTTGCTGCGTCGCTTCTTTGCCACGCTCCAGCATCACCGTGTGATCGCCAGCTAACAGCCTAAGTGCGAAGACTCGGGGGACCATGTGATCGGGCTACAGCCATGCCTCCCCCCCCCGCGTTATCTGGCCCGTGTGACCGGGGCTGGAGTCAGCAGTCAGTTCTAAAGCTAAGCAACTTTTATTAAAGGAAATACATGCTGGAGAGTGCAGGTAAGAGATAGATAGAGGCTGCGGTCACACGGAGCAGTAGCCATGCTACAGCGATGGAAGATAGGCGGATTTTCTGGGCGCGATCTCACCGCCACATCTGGGAAGCATAGAGCTCCCGTGGCGAACCCGAGGCTTCCCTCCGAAGATGCGCAGTTAAAAACTAGTACCTCGGAGGTACTAGTTTCCGGAAACCGCGGGGCAAGGGCGGGCGTCTGATCGCGTTTCCGGTGGCATCCGGTGCCCACCCATGCCCCATTGCGAAAAGGTTCCCCCCCCCCGAAGTCTCCAGGGATGCGCACAAGCACCCAACGGGGCATGCGCATACTTCAGGTAAACCCCCCCACAACCCCATTTGCCGCACCGCGCCACTTTTTTGGCGCGTTGTGTGATCGGCACCTCCCCCCTAACCATGGGACTGTGACAGGACCGCGAGGGGACGCCTGATCGCGCAGTCGCGCATTATTTCACTGCGGGGCAAACAGCCACGCCTCCCCCCCCGCGATATCCAGCCCGTGTGCCCAGGGCCAGAGATTACCTACTCTAACTAACTAGATGGTGTTGGATGCTGGATGCATGTCCAGCCTCCATGGGGCAAGATGGAGAGATCATGCATCTTCTTTGTGAGCATGCGAGGGAGAAGAGAGTGAGAGAGTGGAAGCAGGGGAAATTGCCCCTAAGAGCAGCATTCTACTTCAAAGGAAAGGATCAGGTAGCAGGAAGGAAAGGATGCACTGTGTGTCCTGACCTCTCTGTCTGCCTATTCTCTTTGGCGCCATCTCTCAAGTTGAGACAGGAGAAAGAGCCAAAGTCCTCTACTTCGAACAGACTAAAGGTTAGATTGGAAGTTAATAACCTTCATGCTTTGAAAACCATCAGCTTCCCATCTCCCCAAGTGAAGCCTCCATTCAAGAGACCGAGCATTCTTCTCAAGCCTGTGATTGGCATGCAGGTTGCCATCTCTCAAGTTGAGACAGGAGAAAGCGCCAAAGTCCTCTTCTTCTAACAGGCTAAAGGCTTGATTGGAAGTTAATAACTTGGGGAGCTCCCCATCTCCCCAAGTGAAGCCTCCATTCAAGAGACCGGGCATTCTTCTCAAGCCTGTGATTGGCATGCAGGGGGTGGGCCTAGATTTGGTATCTCTACCTGAAAGGGATTTGCTTCCTTCTACAGACTCTTCTCGTCCGTCAACGAGGAGAAACTCTTTTCCAAGCCGACTTATGCCAGTTTCATTAAGCTGCTGGATAACTACCAGAAGAAGGTTGGAAAGGAGGAAGACTTCACTGCTGAGCAACTGAAGGAACAGGATCATTTCCTGGAGGAGACCATGAAGACAAAGGTCATGAAAGAGCTTTACAGGTTCCTTCACGACAAGAGTAAGTCACCATCAGGAAGGAGATCTATCATACTGGGGGAAATGCATCGCACCATCAGTAGGATTCCCAGTTGTCCACGTATGGCAGGGGTAAAAGGTAAAGGTAAAGGTTCCCTTGCTCGAAAGCCAGTCGAGTCCGACTCTAGGGTTGCCGTGCTCATCTCCGTGTCAATGCCGCAGAGGTCTGAAGATGTTTCCGTGGTCATGTGGCCGGCATGACTAAACACCAAGGCGCACGGAACGCTGTTACCTTCCCACTGAAGTGGTCCCTATTTATCTACTTGCAATTTCTTCCTTTCGAACTGCTAGGTTGGCAGGAGCTGGAACTAGAGACAGAAGCTCACTCCGTCATGCGGCACACTCGGGTCTCGAACTACTGAACTACCGACCTTCCACAGCCCGCAGTTCAGCGTCTTAACCACTTGAGCCACCTCCTGATAATTGTGGCCATCTTTATCCTCTCCTTTTCCCAAGAAGCTCTCCCTTCCCTATTTAATTTTCAGTGATCCTATGAGGTAGGTTAGGCTGAGAGGGGATGTCTGGCCCAGGATCACCCAGTAACATCTGTGATAAAGTTGGGGTTTGAACCTGTGTTGTCTCAGTTCCTCAAACAGCTGCCACCACACTGGAGGAGAGGGGAATGCAGGCTGCCTGGGAGATTCTCGGAGGAAGGAGGAGATGAATAAGTACAGATGAGCAATTATGCCTGCAAGATTAAATGCATTATCTTTGAGGTTTCCGAAGGCCACATATTGGGCATGCCATTCTCAGATGGATATTGTAGCTGTGGTTTAGGTGTTGTTGAATCTGTAAGACATGTTCTTTTGAGAGCCAGTTTGGTGTAGTGGTTAGGAGTGTGGACCCTAATCTGGGAGAACCGGGTTTGATGCCCCACTCCTCCACATGCAGCTGTTGGGTGAACCTGGGTAAGCCACAGTTCTCTCAAGAGCAGTTCTCAAAGAGCTCTCTCAGCTCCACCTACCTCACAGGGTGTCTGTCGTGGGGAGGGGAAGGGAAGGAGATTGTAAACCGCACTGAGACTCCAAGTGAAGGGCGTGTATAAATCCAATCTCCTCCTCCTACCCCCCCCATATAAAAAGGCAAGACAGAAATAGATTAAACCTTCACCACAACAGTGGACCCACTCCTCAGCAGATATCCTTTTTCGTAAATTACTAGCAGATTCAAGAGTAGAAAATATACTCATTTTAGCTAAATTTTTAGTTCAGGACGTAAGAGTTCGGGCAATTTACAAGAGAACAGTTGTCTTTGTAGCTTACGTACTACCCCTGCCGGGCCTGAATTCTTCCTTCCTCCTATTCCCAGTTATGTTTGATAAACACTACTCAAGACCTGTAGGTCACAGGAGCAGAGTAAGAAAGAAAGAAAAAAAATAAGTATCTTGATAGGATTCTTTGCAAGAAGCTGTGACCACTCAGACAAGTACATCTGTAGCGAAGAGCTGCCTTGAGGTTTTTTTGATTCTGTATAGCGCTTGCATACAGCTTGCTTTTTCTCTTGAATTTGGATCTTTGGAGTTGTGATTCTCTTATCATATACTGTCTTTTTGAAGCAACGTGTTTCATAACATCCCGGTTACGTAGGGATAATGTTACAGGGAGGTATAATCTCATCGGGATTTTCTTGAATTTCGATGGTTTTTGATCAGAAAATGACTTTTTGTCCGCCCTTCACTCTTTCCCCAGATCGTTACAGTACGGAGGAGGCGTTTGTTGCTGACTTAAAGGAGATGTGGTTCGGCCTTTACTCCAGGAAGAGGGAGGATGACTCTAGTGGCTTCGAGCATGTCTTTCTAGGTAAGATTGATGCCTTGAACATATGAACACACGTGGAGCTGCCTTTTTACTGAATCAGACCTTTGGTCCCTCAAGTTCAGCACGGTCTGCTCTGACAGGCAGCCGCTTTCCAGAATCTCAGGCAGAGGTCTCAGGCAGAGGTCACTTACTAAACTGAATGGACCACTGGTGCTTATAACTGCAGATGCCAGGGATTGAACCTGGGACCTTCTGCGTGCAAAGCAGAGGCTCTGCCACTGAGCCACAGCCAATGCTCCCTCTAAGCTGTGGAGTCTTGTGAGTAAAAATTCTACTTTGTGAGCTACTGGCATTAAAGCTGTGAGTGAGCAATTTGGCTGCTGCATAAATTAGTTTGCTTTGGAGCCATCCTTCCTGAGCTAAGACAAAAATGTGTGAGCCGGAAACCAAAAAACTGTGAGCTAACTCACACTTACTCAGCTTAGAGGGAACACTGGCCACAGCCCCTGCCTGTTAGAATACGGTTTTCAGCTGACTCCCTTTCTGTGGAGACTTGTTTCTGCTCAATTTTGGGCTGTACACAGCTGTAATACTGTGTAGAAGAAGAAGAGATTGGATTTATACCCCGCCCTTCACTTGGAGTCTCAGAGCGGCTTACAAACTCCTCTCCCTTCCCCTCCCCACAACAGACACCCTGTGAGGTGGGTGGGGCTGAGAGAGCTCTGACACAAACTGCTCTTTTTCAAGGACAGCTGTGCCAGAGCTTGTGACTGACCCAAGGTCACATCAGCAGGTGCAAGTGCTGTCCTTGGGGAATCAAACCCGGTTCTCCCAGATTAGAGTCCGCACACTTAACCACTACACCAAACTAGCTCTCACTTTCTTAGGAGTAAGCCATGCTAAACTCCTTGGGAGAAGCTTTCCAGACTATTGCATTTTTCACATTTTCTCTTTGTCCTCCCATCCCCTGCAAGCCCTTGATTTATTGCAATTTTTAAAATATCCATCCTAATTGCAATGCGGATTGTCCAAAGCAATATTGCCTAGGATCGTAGAAAGCCCTGACCTGGCTAACCCAGGCTAGTCCAATCTCATCAGATCTTGGAAGTGAAGCCAGGTCAGCCCTGGCTAGTACGCAGTGTTCCCTCTAAGCTGAGTCAGTGTGAGCCAGCTCACAGTTTTTTAGCCTCCGGCTCGCACATTTTTGTCTTAGCTCAGGAAGGGGATGGCTCCCGAGCAGACTAATTTACGCAGCAGCCAAATCACTCACTGACACCTTTAACGCCAGTAGCTCACAAAGTAGAATTTTTGCTCACGGGATGCCATGGCTTTGAGGGAGCATTCGATGGGAGACCATTATGGAAGCCCAGGGTTGATACACAGAGACAGGCAATGGCAAATCCAGGCCTGTGGCCGGGATATTTTTTTTTTAAGTTGGGGGCATTTAAGTTTATTGGGGGGGGGCACCATTCCGCAAGGGCCCTCAGTGGCAAGCAATGTTCCCTCTAAGCTGTGGTGTCCTGTGAGCCAAAATCCCACTTTGTGAGCTACTGGCATTAAAGTTGTGAGCGAGCGATTTGGCTTCTGCATAAATTAGGTTGCTGTGGAGCCATCCCCTTCCTGAGCTAAGACAAAAATGTGTGAGCCGGAGGCTAAAAAACTGTGAGCTGGCTCACACTAACTCAGCTTAGAGGGAACACTGCATACTAGCCAGGGCTGACCTGGCTTCATTTCCAAGATCTGATGAGATTGGACTAGCCTGGGTTAGCCAGGTCAGGGCTTTCTATGAGCTAGCTCACACTAACTCAGCTTAGAGGGAACACTGCATACTAGCCAGGGCTGACCTGGCTTCATTTCCAAGATCTGATGAGATTGGACTAGCCTGGGTTAGCCAGGTCAGGGCTTTCTATGAGCTAGCTCACACTAACTCAGCTTAGAGGGAACACCGGGGCAAGAGCACTCTGGGCTCTCCACGGGGAGCGTTGGCCGGTCCGGGCTGGAGCTATGGCCATGGCAGAGTGTCCCAGGGGAGGCGTGCCCAGGCTCCTTCTGCATGGCCCTCAGGGGAGGGAAGACATGCAGAGGAGGAAAGAATGGGCAGCCTCCTGGCAGTAAGTCAGGGGGCCCTGGCACTAGGTCAGGGGGCCAGGCCCTGAGGGGCCCCACCGTAGCTATGGGCCTGGGCAAACCACCTCTGTTTCCTCATTGCCTTGGAAACCCTGTGGGGTTGCTGTAGCTCAGCTGTGCCTCGACCACAAACAAATAAAGGAAAGGAGAATGACCCTTGATGTGGCTGGCGTCTGGGCATCCTCCCACTTCTCCAGGCTCTGAGGCAGCCCACCCTGTCTCTTTCTTATTTTTATTTATTTATTTATTTATCAGATTTATACCCCGCCCTCCCCCGTAGGGCTCAGGGTGGCTTACAAGGGCAAGATAACCTTGCTACAATAAAACATAATATACTTATAGTTTAAAAACATACTATACGTCTTAAAATCCAGTCCTAATTCAGATAAGTGCTCAGTGTTCTTCAAGGACTCCAAAATCCAAAGATGACGGAACCATTCCAAGAAGTTCCTGGTGGACAGTCTATGGCTTCTGTATTCAGATGTTTATACTCAGGGCCTCTTCCAGCCCACCACGATGGTGATATAGTGGGGGGCGGCAGCCCCTACTCAAAAGCCTGGTGGAAGAGCTCCGTCTTGCAGGCCCTGTGGAACTGCATTAGATCCCGCAGGGCCCGGATCTCCCCCGGGAGCTCATTCCACCAGGTAGGGGCCGCCACCGAAAAAGCCCTGGCCCTAGTCGCAGCCAGCTTTACATCTCTGAGGCCCGGAATAGTTAGCAAATTTTGGGCCCCAGACCGTAGTGCTCTCGGGGGGACATATGGGGAAAGGCGGTCCCTCAGGTAGGTTGGACCCAGATCATGTAGGGCTTTATAGGTAAGAACCAGCTTTCTTAACGTGAAACACTTCTTCTTCTTCTTCTTCTTCTTCTTCTTCTTCTTCTTCTTCTTCTTCTTCTTCTTCTTCTTCTTCTTC